GAGTTAAAAAACGAATAGTGAAAAATAGTCATCCCGGTACCTCTTTACGAGTTCCAGGGAATGAGTGTAACCTGACTATGAAAAATCGAGAAACAATGCTTGTTTATTTTTTATAAAAATTGTTTGGGTAGTGGATAACGGCCTCAATAGCTCAATTGGTAGAACACCTGACTCAGTGGAGATGCAGGGGCCCAGGGTTCGATTTCCGGTCCAGCCATACATTTTCTCCCTTTCTGACGGTTACAGCTAGGTTGATCGTTCTCGGTCGATAAAATGAAGTCGACATAATTATCTACGGATTGACTCTTTATATTTTACACATAGAGACTAGAAATCAATTTAAGCTGTTGCAACTGTGTTTCCTTTTATATAAAGGATGACTGCACTTAAGGAAATTTAGAAATTGCGCCATAATTAATTTTAAGAATGAACATATTTCTTTTAATGGTAGAAATGGCCAATGTCTTAACGGCAACTTTGTGTAATTACGTTAATTAAAAGTTCGAATTAACGAAGTTCGAAGTCGTTTTTATAGGGAGGGGTCATCGCATATCCAGGAATCTCCATAGGCTAATGAGTACGCCCACCTCCTTAACAGGCTTAATACATAGTCAGCGCATGTTTGTCTATTGTTCTCCTTTTAATGGTAGTTGTATATTTATATATATTAGCTCATATTAAAAGGAGATCAATAGACAAACATGCGCTCATGGTTAAAAAGAGAAAAAACTGTGTCTATGTGTGTTCACATTCTCTATAGTAAACAGGCCATTTTGACCACGTTATTACCTGTTGAATATTATAATTAACCACGTGGTTTCTATACCCAGGTAACTCTGTGAATACTAAAATTCCATCACGTGACGAGTAAGGAAACACGCGTTCTGCTGGGCGATAGTGATTGTCCAATTCTGTTTTAATCTATTCCCATCAAGCCACGGGCTATTCTTTTTTCTCTTAGATATCTATAAGATTATTCTTATATTTATCTCATTTTACTATATTTATATATTTTTAAGTGTATTATATGTCTCTGCATGTTCAAAGACTACAAGAAAAAAGAGATTTATTTTTTATGTTTTGAACCATTGCTTATCATGAACATCAAAAGTAAAATCCAGTAAATAAAAATGAAATCATACCATCCTTAGCACGCTAATTTGTAGGGAAAAGAAATTAAGAAAATTATAAAAAGAGAAAAATAAAACAAATTTTACTGTTGTTAGCGGGTCTCGATCCCGGACCTTAATATTATTGATTCCGTGCATTACCGACTGAGCTAGTCGGCACATATATTCGAACACGCGAATTGTTGACATCAGTCATTGCTGTTGATTATCAATGGCTTCTTCTACCGGTACATGTTATTTGTTATTAGTTATATACTTTATTTGAAAACTTAAAAAATAATAGTTTTTGACAAACATATGTCGAGAGAGAGAGAGAGAGAGAGAGAGAGAGAGAGAGAGAGAGAGAATGCACCAAATACAAATACAGTCACTATTCTAATTTTAGAACACTCTCCACACAATATTAGCTCCGCCTCTTATGCATATTTATAAATCTTATCTTCAATCAAGGGCAGATAAATCTAATTTCCCGATATTTGAAGAGAGGTGGGTTAAGAAAACAACGAATTATTTTATTGCAACACAGTTTATAACCTTTATGACATTGCCTTTCATTCGGAAATATACCAAACTCTTCAACAAATGACTTAAGGCAAAAATAAAAACAAATTTAAATGTGACAACAGAGATTGAAAAAGACCCAAATATCGGCGTTAAGTGCAGTCATCCTTAAGTACGTAAATCCTTATTCAAGGAATTAATTAATTGTTACGCCTTAAGCAGCTGTTAAGTACCAATCATTTACAGAATAATACATAATTATAAACAAGAGATGTTTGTAAAACACTAATACACCCCTCACCCCAAATTGGAATTTTTCTAAAAGGGAATAACTCTGTCTAAAATGGTGCAATCCTAACCAAAACAGAAACTTAACCTGGATATTCAACTAAAAAAATCTGTATGTTAAATTTCATTTCAATATGTGCAACCATTGCAAAGAAAATGAACGGAAACTGCAAATAAGTGGAATTTTTCTAAGTCCAAGGGACATAACTCTGTAAAAAATGGTGCAATCATACCCAAAATAGAACTTGATCTAGATATTTACCTGATAAAGCTGTATAACAAATTTCATTTCAGTATGTGCAACGGTTGTGAAGAAAATGAACGGAAACTAAATGGACCGACAGCAGCAAAGCAATATGCCCTCCCTTCTTCGAGGGGGGGATAATTATTGGATTTGATTATTAATATCAAGTCGACCATACACTGTACTAGCTATTTTGAGATCAGCACTATGTTGTTTTACACATGAACAATTTCTAAAACGAGGTAAATTATTGACAAGCAAATTGATGAAACAAGAATATTAACAGTCTCGTTTAAAGTCATCATTTCGAAAGTTCTACGGTTGATACATGACATTGTGAGCAAATAAAATTGATCATTGAGTCAAATGCTGACTGACGTTTTTCATATCAATTGTTAGTCCATTATCTATACACTGAATGACGACGGATTTTTCCGTTATTTCTTGATCATGACAATGAGCACACGGTCTTTGTGACCGGTCAGCAGGGGATGCTACTCCTCCATGGCACCTAATCCCACCTCTGATGTTTCGGAGGTCCGTGTTTGCTCTGCTCCTATTTTGTATTGTTTTATGGACTTTGATATTGAATTCAGTTCGTCATCCCCATATCCTTCATTTTGCATGAGGCATTTAGTTTTTGTGAGTCAGTCTGACTGCGTTTATCTACAGAAACCTCAATTGTAGTTCCAGCTTTTGAAATGTTTGTGTTAAGTTTTACAGATTTCACAAGTGTACTTCCTTTACCATGTTTACATGCTTCTTTTGGAACCAATATGTTTGACCTCTTGACCTTGTTGTTTAACCGACTTTTGAAAAATCTGATCCTTGGCCATAGCTTATCTAGGGTGTTCATATTTCTTGAGTGTATTTCTTAAGAAAAGACCTTTCTTTGATCATGAGTGCCAACATTTTTGACCTCGTGAATTTAAAATTGGAGTTTGATCCACTTTTCAAAGAAGTCAACCTCGACCTTAACTTCTGATCAGGTGATGCTATAGTTTTTATATTTCCAGTGTAGTGTAGATCTCAAATTGTCACGGCCCCGGGAGTAGGTTGGGCAACAGTGAGTAATATAAGAGAAAACTCTGGCTGAGAATATGTGCCAAGTTTTTCAGGTGGGCGATGTGGCCATGGGCCTCTTATTTGTATGTGTACTATGAATGAATTTTCAGCGTCATCTTTCTTCTGGCTGTAATTAATTTTAAACTTTTCTTTTTAAAGTACAGTTTTCACTTTCATTAGCTACAAAAGTGTAGCGCTAAGGTTTTATATTAAGTCTTTGATAATAACGCTACAGATCCCGTAATGGAAATAATGGCGAGAATTTCTCCACTGTCCAATACTGGTCAGTCATATTTCCCTCCCTAAATCTAGAAACATTTGTTAACCAACTTTATTTTATACTCCCGGAATCGGACCCTAGTCCCTTTTTCATCTATACAGACCGTTTTGTATTTTCTGTCAGTCTACAAAAAAGAACACAACAAGCAAGCACAGAAATTAGTCTAAATAAATGGGAGGCAAATAAAGTTATGGAGAGAATTAGTTGATTGACTAATGCTAGAAAATGGAGAGATTATCCCCAATTCTGTGCAGAAAATTTTGCGTCGTAAATTGCACATTATTTTCATGACGGGAAGGTCAAGCGGTCCTACTAAACAGAGAACCTTAGAGAACTCTAGAGAACCCTAGAGAACCTGAGGTTTATATGGTGAATTTTAATATATTTTATATATAATATGTTTGATTTTTATTAAATAAATCACATTTTATACTTTAAATCAATTAGAAAGTTATTTTGTGGAAATTTTTACCAGAAAAACGTAACAAATTAGACTGAGAAATATTTTATGACATCCCGATCCCGATTGAATTTAAAGAAACATTGTTTATCGAAATAATAATTTTTATCACGTATTTTTTCAATTATTTTTCACATTATTTTTTATTTAAATTTAATGATATGTATATTTCTTAGCAATTTACTCTGATCTAAAGTATATTAATTGATTTCTTTCTTGTTTCATTACAAAGCTATGATGAAGTCTTAAGAGATTATAGTAATCTGTTAAAATAAGCAAAAAAAATGTTAAAATATTTATTTTTTCAGTTTAATTCTGTTTTGGCATGATAAATTACTTTTATAAAATAGAAATATTTCATTTACATACAATAAATAACTAAAAATCATTAGGGTTCTCTAAGGTTATCTAGAGTTCTCTAGGGTTCTCTGTTTAGTAGTACCCCAGTTCTCAGCAGGTCTCTCTCTGTATACATATGTCAATTTCCTATTATAACTACAGTGCACTGCTTCAATAAATATAAAACATCGAATTCTATAACTTTAACATTAAAACATAACGCTACAATTCTCTCTACACTGTCATATGACAGTTCTTAGCAGGCCTTTCTCTTTGTATATACACTACCCTCCATTTATATTTACCATATTTTATTCATATGATATCAAAATATCTGAAAATTACTTAAATCTACCTCAAATATGAGCCTTTTGTGGAAAAAATCAATGAAAACTTTTTTTTGGCTGTTGGATACTTATTTATAGAGGGTAGTCTATTTCCTATTTACAACATGTGCACTGCTTCAATGAATATAAATACTAGTACATGGAATGCTATAACTTTTATTTCTATATAAGGATGATCTGCGATATGCAGCATTATTGCACAAGAAAATAGCACTATAAAACTAGAAAAAAAAAAGAAAGGAATGAAAAAGAATTCCAAAAATAATCATAAACCCCAAAACCCATATAATCTACCCTTTATATAAGTGACATTGATAATTGTATGTACATGTATAAATGAAAATATTGCTAAATCTAAATTATAGCTATATCTTTGGATAAGAAATCCATCTCATTGGATAGAAAACTATGTATTGCTAAAACCTACATCAAAACATTTAAACTACGATTATATCTGATATCAAAACAACATAATAAAAGTTTCTTTCAAATCAGAAACTGTCATCTCTCGGTGTAAAATATTAATCAATGGATTAGATAAGCCTCGGCCTTTGTCCTCGGGTAACTAGACGCTGAGAGCCATCCTGATCTGTCTGTCATGTTTTCCTTCAAACAGACAGGAGACACTCAGAAGTGGATGGTCAGTTTTCTGTAGATATTTCTGAAAATTCAGACATAAGGTAACTTTATTAATACTCAAAATCTTATGAATGAACTTTCATGGCAATGATCATCACCATAACAAATAAAAGATCTATAGCTAGTTTTGCTTTAAGGAAAAACTTAAAAATTTGGATAAAATACACCATTACATTAATTAATAAAAGATTGTTTGGGACAATTAAGTGTAAATCAAGATGCGTCATTTGTCCATATTGATCATAAACTTAAGTAGTTCTGCTTACATCGGCATAAGTCATTGCATTCCTTCTTTTATCACTATATTAATAATACAGTTCTACTTACATGGGCATAAGTCATTGCATTTTTTCTTTTATCACTCTTAATAATACAGTTCTACTTACATGGGCATAAGTCATTGCATTCTTTCTCTCAGCAACAGAGGTTTCCAATCCAATCCAGACGAAGACAGCTTTCTTGGTGTCAACAATAAACACATCCTAATGTTAAACAAGTCAACAGAAATATATTTATATCATTGTTACACTCAGCTGAATTTAGACAGCTTTCTTGGTGTTGACAATAAACACATCCTAATGTTAATAAGTCAACAGAAATCTATTTATTTCATGGTTATACTCATCCAAACTATGGTGAGTTTTAAGCAAGTCTGACCTAAGACAGATCTGAAAGTTTCGATGTTTGATGTCAAATTCCCAGTAGAAAATATTTTAAACAGCAGTCTTCAGCGCTCACTCACCTTGCTGTCCAAATCAGACGTGGATACTGACCCACTCTTCTCTACTTTAAATGTCAGATTTCCCGAGGCATCAGACAATCTATGGAAACAAAATGTTGTCATACTTTGATGAAACAAGGTGTAAATTTATATGATGGAGCAAGTGATTTTTATTTTTATTTCAACGTCTTTTTCAGAATCCCCTGTCTTATAAAGTTCTTGAAGTAAATAGTATTCCATTCAAACAATAAGAAAAAAAACTAGAGCAAAGCTCGTTGCAAAGCAACGAGTAGGTCTTCCGTCCAGTTTTGACCGGAAGTGCCGGAAGTGACAAAACAAAAGTTTGACCGGAAGTGACGACGACGGACGGAAAAATTACGTTTTATGCTTCCAGAGACTAATGTAACCACAAAACTTGTCAAGAACGGCAAAAAAACGCGTTTTCCAACTACTTCCGGTTTGGCCGGAAGTGACGACGCCGGACGTATTTTGAGAACGCCAGTAGATTAAGCTTGACATTTTGAACAACTTTGCTTCTTTGACCCCTTACAAATTCTTAATACTTTTTGACTTATGAAAGAAAAAATTTCGACCCCTCTAGGCCCTTAAATTTAAGGGCCAGCCCTTTTTTTAAGATATCATTTGAAAGATCTTGAAATTTTACACTTCTTTTGTTCTATATGTTTAAACAAAATGTTTACAGATAAAAAGATATCGTAGAAAAGGTGTTAAAAATTTTGAAATTTGCGATTTGTCATTTTTCGAGCCATAGCCAGCGCCGACGTACTGCACTTCCGGTAAAAACGAAAGACGTTACGCATATCTATAGACTTTGCTCTATCATACCTGAAAGTTTCATGTTTCTATCTAGAGCCATTATTGAGAAAGTCTGGAGACAACCTGACCCTTTAAAATTCATAAAATCGGCAATATTTCCAAACCGGAAGTGACGTCATCAAAACAGAAAAAAATGCATAAGGTTCAAGTAATGTTACATAAGTCCTGAAAGTTTCGTTGAAATCCATCGAGCCGTTTTCGAGAAATCGCGTGCACAAAATCGGTAAGAAAAAAAAGAATAATAACTAGAGCAAAGCTCGTTGCAAAGCAACGAGTAGGTCTTCCGTCCTGTTTGACCGGAAGTATTCGGAAACAACTTTCATCTTTACAAAAGTGAATAATAACGCCCAAAAATGTATAAATCATCTTAATTTATGTTAATTAATGCTAAAATAAGGCATTTTTTGTACTTCCAGTTTGACCGGAAGTGACGACGACGGACGGAAAATTAATTGTTATGCTCCCAGAGACATATATTACCCAAAAACGGGTTAAGAAGGGCAAAAATACGCGTTTTACGACTTCTTCCGGTTTGGCCGGAAGTGACGACGACGGACGTTTTTTAATGGTTTCGTTAGATTGAGCTTGACATTTTGAACAACTTTGCTTCTTTGACGTATTACAAATTCTTGATACTTTTTGAGTTATAAAGGAAAACCTTTCGGCCCCTAGCTCTAGGCCCTTAATTTTAGGGGCTAGCCCTTTTTCCGGGATATCATTTTAAAAATTATAATTTTCTACACTTCTTTTGTTCTATATGTTTTAACAAAATATTTCCAGGTAAAAAGATATCGTAGAAAAGGTGTAAAAAATTTTGAAATTTGCGATAGGACTATTTTCGGGCCATAGCGAGCGCCGACGTACGGCACTTCCGATAAAAATGAAATACATTCCGCAAATCTACAAACATAGGTCTACCATACCTGAAAGTATCATGTCTCTGTCTAAAGCCGTTTAGGAGAAATCGTGCGGACAAACTGACCCTTAAAAAACCATTAAAGTGCCGATAACTTCGGACCGGAAGTGACGTCATCAAAACGGAAAAAAACGCATAAGGTTCACGTGATGTAACATAAGTCCTGAAAGTTTCATAGAAATCCATCGAGCCGTTTTTGAGAAATCGCGTGCACAAAATCGGTAAGAAAAAAAAACAATAATAATAAAAGTGAAAAAGAAACCTAAGAATAACAAGAAGGTCTTCTGCTGAAGACGGAAGACCTTAATAATAACTAGAGCAAAGCTCGTTGCAAAGCAACGAGTAGGTCTTCCGTCCTGTTTGACCGGAAGTAGCTTTAATTTTTAACAAAAATAAGAAATAATGTATAAAAATGATTTGAATCCTCGAAAGCTATGTTAATAAATGCAAAAATAAGCAATTTTTGCTACTTCCGGTTTGACCGGAAGTGACGTCGACGGACGGAAAATTAATTTTTATGCTTCCAGAGACATATGTTACCCAAAAACTTGTGAAGAATGGCAAAAATACACGTTTTCGACTACTTCCGGTTTGGCCGGAAGTGACGACGCGGGACGTATTTTGACGACTCCAAAAGATTAAGCTTGACATTTTGAACAACTTTGCTTCTTTGACGTATCACAAATTCTCAATACTTTTTGAGATATAAAGGAAAAACTTTCGGCCCCTCCAGGCCCCTGATTTAAGGGGCCAGCCCTTTTTATGTGATGTCATTTGAAAGATCTTAAAATTTTACACCTTTTTTGTTCTACATGCTTTAACAAAATATTTCTAAGTAAAAAGTTATCGTTGAAAAAGTGCTTAAAATTTTGAAATTCTTGATAGGACAATTTTCGGGCCATAGCGAGCGTCGGCGCTTCGTACTTCCGGTAGTTGTGATATACTTAGTGCACATCTCCAAAAGTTGCTCTAGCATCACTGAAAATTTCAGGCTTCTGTGTTAAGTGCTTTTTGAGAAAACTGCCGGACAAAATGACCCTCTAAAAATCACTAAATTGCAGAAAACTCCGAACCGGAAGTGACGTCATCAAAATAAAAAAATATATATCTAGATTTTTTGATGTTCTATCAGACCTGAAAGTTTCATGAAATTCGATCGAGCCGTTCTCGAGAAATCGCGCGTACAAAATCGGTAAGAAAAAAAACAATAATAATAAAAATAGTGGAAAATAAACCTAAGAAAAACAATAAGGTCTTCCGCTGAAGACGGAAGACCTTAATAATAAAAGTGAAAAAGAAACCTAAGAATAACAAGAAGGTCTTCCGCTGAAGACGGAAGACCTTAATTAATAAAGAAAAAAGTAAAACTTATGGTTCTAGGTAACAGGAAAACCTACTTCAAAGACATGCATAAGATATTTCTAGATGTGTGCATGTCTTTAATGTGGAGACTTAATTGTCAGTTGTCTACCTCTAGAGGTTATCAAGAAACGTTGAAAAAATGAAACATTCTGAATTACTGATACATTTATTTGATGAAGATTTTCAATCAGTGTTTCAGAATCTTAGACTTTGTCTTTGAGAAAATATGTGATTATGTTTGTTTATATGTGCCCCAATACACTTTATGCCCCTTAAGCCAACCTGAAGAGTTCCACTGTCAAATCTTTCGGCTTCATGTTCTCTGCTTCATCTGGAACATCGTCTTCTGTCAAGGCATGGTAAAACTCGTGCTGTAAAAGGGATAAGGATATGGTAAAACTCGTGCTGTAAAAGGGATAAGGATATGGTAAAACTCGTGCTGAAAAAGGGATAAGGGCATGGTAAAACTTGTGCTGTAAAAGGGATAAGGGCATGGTAAAACTCGTGCTGTAAAAAGGATAAGGATATGGTAAAACTCTTGCTCTAAAAGGGATTTCCTCTATAAGCAACTAGTAGTTGTAACGCAATAATGATAATAAACAGTTGAATCCAAAAGCAAATAAACAGTGTAGGAAGAAATTTTAGATTATTGCTTCCATGCTTTTTTTTCAAAATTAATTGATTAGACAAGATTTTGTTTTTATTTTGCTGATCAAATTTTGTGACTTGTTTTACAATTGTTTACATGGAAACAAAATGTAAATGCCATTGGAGCATAATCTTCTCTTGAAAGGATATTGCAAAACTCATACATTATATTATATATATATATATACTCCTCCATGGCACCTGATCCCACCTCTATGTTTTACAGGCCATTGTTTGCTCTGCTCATGTTTTGTATTGTTTTATGGACTTTGATATTAAATTTTGTTCGTTATCTCCATATCCTTCATTAAACTAAACTAAACTAAAAACATGGTAACAGTTGACACTTGCAACACAGTGATTTTTATTCCCCATGGTCTTCAAATCATTGATAACTTAACACAATAACTTAATGCTTTTATAACAATTGAAAATTGGTTTTCCTGGGACTTTGCTGTGATCATATTTTACTCTAAATGTAAGTATTTGCAATATATGGACATTTTCAAAGAACAAAAAGCATGCTACTTTATTACTAATGCAGCAATATTTCCATGCTAAAATAATTTAAATATTACAGAAAAGACCTACATTGTTTAATAATCAACTCAGTATACAAAGCCAGTCTTTTATTAAGCCTTAATTTGTAATTTATCTTTTATTTCCTCTTCTGTATTAAATGTAAAGGCTATAAAATGTACTCAAACTGTATTCATAAATGTAAAGAAAGAGGTTTGTCCCAAAAAGTAAAAGAGAAGTTTTTCTTCAGAATTCTATCCTGCAAAAAATTGACCCACTTTGTGTCAGACTGTATATCTTATTTTCTTCTTTTTGAAAGACAAACTCATTAATTTGCCATTTGGATTCCAAATTGGCAAATTTTTAGCAAGCTTGAATCTACATTGATAGGCAAGTATGCTCACTTATATTGAAATATGTTTATCCTTGATATGAAGATTTTTCCTATATCCTTTTATATATTTGGAATTTCAAAACAATTTTTTGATCTTATCATGGCCTGGTAGCAATTTATAAATTCCCTTTATAAATAAAGCATCCTACATAAGCTTTAGGCTTTAAAGTCATAACCTGCATTACAACCTGTACTGGGGTTATAATGTAAATTCCTAGATATACGCATGGAATAAATTATCGCGTAACTTCGCGAGAAGCACCACGCGCGAAATAAAATTACTCCCCTTTACTTTTCTGATGCTGAAATTTATGTAAAATCTCTTGATGAACCATCCATTCACGAATTATTTTTCTCGCGATTTACCGTTGAAGAGCACATTCCCGATAATAAGTACTCTCGAAAAATAAGGAATCTACAGTAATCAAATAGTGGGATAAATAGAGTAATAAATAAACTACCTGGTATATAAATAAATTGCATACAAATACACACTTAGGCCATAAAAAATTATTTACTTGGTTCTCAGGCCCTCCCTCATCTCTTAAGGGTGCCTCATTGACTCTTTTTATTGCTAAATCAATAAAAAACAACAAATCACCTCCCTCATCATTTTTTGAGGTTTTGTACAATGAAAAAAGCAGCCTCATCATGTTCGGGGGGCTATAAAAAGTAAAAAAAATGCCTTTCTCCCTCATCATATTTCTTGAAAAATGGCCTGAGAACCAAGGAATTAACTTTGCATGGCCTTATTAGTATGAATGAATAATTAACATGTGCAAATTGTAAAATTGTAAACATTATAAATAAAACATTAATGAAATAAACACATGTTAGTATATTAATAATTAGTGCTGAGCCACTACACCACTATACAAGCTTCCCGGGTGTGAACTAGCGATATAATCTCCCGGCTACTAGTATCTCTCTATACTCACGTCCTTTGATAATAACCCGTCATCCAGAACTTCTGAACGGGCTTTCCCGTTCCGCTCGTCTTTTAGTTTAAGGATGTACTGCATGGCCTGCACAACGACACGTACTACAGAGTTATTTATAGAAGAGAAATAAGTTGTATATCTACATTTACTTACACTCTTAGACAACCCCTCTTCCTCAAGAACTTCTGACTTGGCCTTCCCTCGGCGCTCGTCTTTCAGGGCAATCAAATACTGCATTGCCCAGTGATGTGGTGTGAACATATGATTGTCAATTGTCAATTGTTTACAGTTAAAAAAAAATTGGTTTTGTTATGTACATATGATCAAACTTCCAAACTTTTCAATTACAAAAATACTTTACATGGCCTGGATATCGACTATCTGAAAAATAATCCCCTTTCGTGTTCATGTTCTTCTTCGCCCTATAACTATAGTCCTGCTGGACACGTTATTACAGGTGACGTAAATATAGTTCGTAATGAGGACCTTAGATCACTTATTTTAAAAGGTCCTAAATATAGGGAACCCCGATCCTTCAACTGGCGTCAGAATTTCATAAATATTATGGATTCTGTTGAAAATTACGCCAGACGATGGGCTAGATATGAAAAAGAAGACATTGACACCTTGTCAGAATGGATTAAATGTATCAGATCCATGTTAAAGTCACGTATTAAAAGATTGAGGGGCAAAATGAAAACCATCTATCCTTCTGTGTTCAATAAACCAGAAGTGAAAAAAGAATTAGATAGATTACACGATCAGTACGTACTGGTTCCTGCCGACAAAGCAAGTAACAACATTGTCTTCGTTTGTAAGGCTCATTATATTAATTGCATTTTAGAAGAACTTGGATTTAATTCTACGAGTGGTAATCCTACTTATACATATACTACTCTTTCTAAGGAAGAAATTCTTCAAAATCACCTGTCAGTTTTGAATACTTTTAATATTCCACATAGCCAAAATGAATTTGAACTACCTTATATATATTGGATTCCGAAACTTCATAAGAATCCTTACAAACAAAGATACATTGCAGGTTCCAGTATATGTTCAACCAAGCCTCTTTCGTTACTTCTCACTAAAATATTGACAGTAGTGAAGGAAAAACTTCAAGAGTACTGTACAACTATATATTCAAGAAGTGGTGTAAATCAGATGTGGATACTTAAAAATTCTAAAGAACTTTTGGACAATTTGAAATCACAAGACTTTACAAAAATCAACAGCATAAAAACTTACGACTTTTCAACTTTATACACAACAATTCCGCACGACAAATTAAAATCCAGGCTTTTTGATATCATTGATAGCTGCTTATTCAACAAAAATGGAACTCGTAAGTTTACTTACCTCGTCATTGGTCATTTGAAAAATTATTTTGTTAAAACAGATTCTGATTGTACACATAAGTACTCTGAAGTTGACATCAAGAAGATGCTTGAGTTTCTGATTGACAATATCTATGTGGTTTTTGGAGACCAGGTATTCCAACAATCTATTGGAATTCCCATGGGTACAAATTGCGCTCCGTTATTAGCAGACTTATTTTTATATTCATATGAAGCAGAATTTATGCAAAATCTTTTGCGTGAAAAGAAAAAAACACTTGCTGTGGCCTTCAACTCGACATTTAGATATATCGACGACGTATTGTCAATTAATAATGATAATTTCCATTCCTACGTCGACACGATATATCCTGGTGAGCTTGAGATAAAAGATACCACAGAGTCCAACAGATCTGCTTCATACTTGGATATTTTACTTGAAAAAGACACAAATGGTAATCTAACAACCAAGCTATATGATAAACGTGATGACTTTAACTTTTCTATCGTCAACTTCCCTTACTTATGCAGCAATATACCTTCATCACCTGCATACGGAGTATTTATATCTCAGTTGATTCGATACGCAAGAGCATGCTCTACGTATGAACAATTTCTTAAACGAGGTAAATTATTGACAAGCAAGTTGATGAAACAAGAATATCAACAGTCTCGTTTAAAGTCATCATTTCGTAAATTCTATGGTCGATACAATGACCTTGTCAGCAAATACAATTTATCATTGAATGAAATGCTGACTGACGTTTTTCATACCAATTGTTAGTCCATTATTTATACACTGAATTGACTACGGATTTTTTCCGTTATTTCCTGATTATGACAATGAGCACACGGCGGGTGTGACCGGTCAGCAGGGGATGCTCACTCCTCCATGGCACCTGATCCCACCTCTGATGTTTCGGAGGTCCGTGTTTGCTCTGCTCTTGTTTTGTATATTTGTTTAATGGACGTTGAGATTGAATACTGTTTGTTATTTCCATATCATTATCAGTGAGTTTTATATCCTTGAAGTATGAAAAACAAAAACTCTTATTCTCATTCAAAATAAAGAAACAAACTAAATACGCCATGTTGACTAAATATTTATAAAAAACATAACACATATATTCTAAAAATAAACTTATTCATACATCTCCAAAAGCCTCCTTTGTGCCCAGAGGTAAAAATGGCAGCCTCTGTAACTGATATTTTATTGTTACATGATTCAGTAATTTTCCAGCGACATTTTGAGAAAATTTCATAAATCTTTGAATAAAACCTTGGAATTCCAAAAGTAGGTCACCATGACCTACTTCTTTGTTAGCATACTCCTTCTTTGTTAGCATTCTCTCACAAAAAAAAGATTCTTCAATTGACATAGTTTGACGATTGTAAACCTTTCTTATCTGATATATTCAAATATAGCCATAATATCAAAAGTAGGCCACAGTGTAAGGACAAAATTCTTCAGATAGACCAACGTGTCCACATTGCAAAAAAAAAAGAAAAATATTTCACAAATGGCCATAGAATTATACTTCTTTGAGCTCAGAAGAGCTAAATACATAAACTCAAATAAATTAAATAAATTTTATCCATGTAAACCTAACAGTACACCTTGTATTTAAGTGTAAGGAAGGATATGGAAATAACGAACAGTATTCATTCTCAACGTCCATTAAACAATATACAAAATAAGAGCAGAGCAAACACGGACCTCCGAAACATCAGAGGCGGGATCAGGTGCAATGGAGGAGTGAGCATCCCCTGACGACCGGTCACACCCGCCGTGTGCTCGTTGTCATAATCAGTAAATAATCAGAAAAAATCCGTCGTCAATTCAGTGTATAAATAATGGACTAACAATTGGTATGAAAAACGTCAGTCAGCATTTCATTCAATAATAAATTGTATTTGCTGACAAGGTCATTGTATCGACCATAGAATTTACGAAATGATGACTTTAAACGAGACTGTTGATATTCTTGTTTCATCAACTTGCTTGTCAATAACAGGCGAGAAGAAAATTACGACGGACCAGACCAGCATTTGAACCCAGGCCCCTGAATCTCCAGTCAGGTGGTCTACTAGCGGAGCTATCTGGCCAAACGCGTTAAAACCCATCTGACCCCAACATTAACATTCTAATGATACTCTGTCCGTTAATAATTAACAAACCTTCATTCTCTCGTCTTTGTTGCTGCCTTTACCGTTCCACTGATAAATAGTCAAACCAAGATCCAGAATAAAAACATCTAAACTGTCCAAGCGACTTTCACATCGTGGAACCTAGGGACGAAATATTATATAGTTAAACCCAGAATAAATAACATTTTCACTGCCCAAGCAACTCTCAGAGCGTGCAACCTAGGGACGATATATTGTAACGTGCAACGCG